TCGGGGGCTGGCTGTAGGACCCGGTCTGCGGCGGCGGGTAGCTCGTCGGGGGCGGCTGCTGCCCGTAGCTGCTCTGCTGGCCATAGCTAGTCTGCTGTCCGTAGGTGCTCTGCTGCCCGTAGGTGCTCTGCTGGGAGTAAGTGCTCTGGTCGTAACTGCTTGGCTGTGTGGAGGAGTAGCTGTAAGGCAGAAGTGTTGAAGAGGTGAGCTGGTACGCTGGCAGCGTGCAGGAGCGGCTCCGCAGGAACGCAATTGTAAGCCACACGCGCAGCTACAACTGCATTACTGCTGGAAACCCTTTAAAGAGGTGAGGTCACCCTAGGGAGGCTGGTCTGGTGGCAGGAGACAAAATAAACGCAGAAGACTGCTTGATGCAAAATCCACGCGACCGTTCATGGTTTATTCACACCTCCAAAAAGCGGTGGAAGTGCCAGGGCAAAAAATCAGTGGCAACGCAAGTAACGGTCTCCCTTTCTGCCTTGGCACTGGAGTTTTTTCAGCTGGTGGGTAACAAAACAGTCGCCCCTCACGCATCTCGGGCTTTGAGCATTTCGGAACGCTTGGTTTGGAAGTCAGCACCAGCATATTAAGGACACCAGAGGGGAAGAGGCCAACCCCTCATCAGAGCCACGCATCGGGAGGCAGCAGAAGGTCACGCTAAGACGCTCCGTAGCTAGGAGATTTCTTCAACACGTTTGTCATCGCTACACCTTGCTACTGCGGGTGTGCACGCAGAGACACTCAGGCACTCCGTCGCCTTCGCTACGATGAGAAGCACACTGCCAAGAACCACACCTCCCTCCTCCCAGGACGCCCAAGCTCTCTCACATCTGTTCGTCTGAAATCCCTCGCAAAATCCCCTTCTGCCCGAGCCCAGCCGCAGTCCCCAGGCCAGCTGCGCGAGTCCCAGCCCGCCGGCAGAGTTACCTGGTGGGAGGATAGGAGGGAGGCGCGGTGACCGGCTGCATGGGGTAGCTGGCAGGCACCTGGGGGTAGCTGTAGTTGCTCTGCCCGTAGCCAAGGCTGGGCTGGCTGTAGCCTGTCGTACTCGATGGCGGCTGGCGGGGCT